AAGGCGGCGGCCCAGGACATCCGGGCAGCCCTGTCTGTCCTGCGGCCGCGCGACGCCGCCTGGGCGCCGCGCGTGATCACTTCGTCGATGCACGACCCGGGCAGCGCTGCCGCGGTGGCAGACGTGATCGAGGAGTTCAGAGCGACGATGGGGCGTGCGGGGGCGCTGCGCGCGCGCCGGGCGGAGCAGGCCGACTCTCGTGTTTGGGAGCACTGCTCGGAAGCCCCTGCCTCCTGCGCCTTCCCTGAACCTTCCCGGAGCCTTCCGGTAGGCGGTCTCGCGCGTCTGGGAGCACGCGCGCGCCGACGTGCTGCACCGGCTCGGCGGCATGCCAGGCGTGCAGGCGCTCATCGGTGAGCTCGCCGCTTCTGCACGCCTCCCTCTGCACGCCTCCCTCTCACGCCCCCTCCGTGCGGCCGGGTGCCCGGCTTTGCCGAGGAGACCATCTTCTAGGAACTCTCTAGGAACCTTCTAGGAACCATCTAGGTGCCCGGCTTTGCCGAGGAGACCATCTTCGTCGCCGGCGGCCGCATGACGAAGGGCTTGCTTCCTTCAGTCGTCCGTCGCTGATGAGTCGACCGATCAACTCCTCAGGTGACCGCGTGACGACAGACTTGCTCGCGATGCCGTTCTCGATGGGCCGCAACCTGCTCTGCATCTTCTCGAAGAAGCACGTCGACAACCCGCCAGAGCTCAAGTCGACAAAGCAGAGGCGAGACTTGGCCGCGAGATATCCGAGGGGTAGCCGAGAGATGGCCGAGAGGCGGCCGAGAGACAGCCGAGAGATGGCCAAGAGGCAGCCGAGAGGCGGCCGAGAGACAGCCCAGAGGCAGCCGAGAGGCAGCTCGAGGCCAGGCTGGCATCGGGCGCGCCACGCCACGTCGCCCTCGCCCCCCTGCCCCAGGCACAACCGGATATTATATTACATTATATTATTTATTATCATCCAGGCACAACCGGATGGTGATGAAGACGATGCAGCAGCTGATGACGGACGGAGGAAAGTGCATCTGGGTGGCGCCGTCGGGAGGCAGGGACCGGCCGAGCGACGACGGAAAGTACGAGGTCGCGCCGTTCGACTCAAAGTCGATTGAGATGTTCCGGCTCATGTCGGCAAAGGCGGACGGGACTGCAACCTCGGGGCAACCTCGGGGACCTCGGGGCAACCTCGAGCCACCTCGAGCCATCTCGAGTCATCTGCGCCAGGCGGACCGGCCGACGCACTTCTACCCCCTCTCCATGTTCACCTACCCGATCTGCCCGCCGCCAACCACCGTCGGCGGGGAGATTGGCGCGCGGCGTTTTCCTGCAGCGATCGCCTCCTCTGCCCCGGCGGCATTCTCCGACCGGCTCGAGCCGTGTCGCGCGCAGGCGAGCAGCGGACAGTCAAGTACTACCCGGCGGCGCTCCACTTTGGCGAGGAGGTGGACGTGTCGCGCTTCTCGGAGGGGTGCGTGACCGACAACTTCCCGGCTGGCTGCGACGCAGCCGCGCCTCGAGCTCGAGATCCGCCGAGATTGCCCGAGATGAGCCAGGTTGGCCCGAGATAGGCGAACTCGTCGCGCGACGAGCTGCGAGAGGCGACACTTCCTAGACACTCCCTAGACACTCCCTACACACTCCCTAGAACTCGTCGCGCTGCGAGCTGCGCGAGGCGGCGAGAGCCGGTGGGGGCGGGGCCCAACCGCCGGGCCCCCGCATGCCCGCGACACGCGCGCGGCATCTCCCTCAGGCGCTCGCCAAGCACGTCCACTCGATTGTCTCGAGCAACTACCAGGACCTCGCCGCCAAGCTCGACATGCCGTGAGCGCCGCCCTTCGCTGCGCGGTGGCCCCGCCCCGCCGACGTGCGGCCGCCTCTCCCGCCTAAGCTTGAAGTCTCCCTCGGGGTGCCGAGACCGCGGACCGGCCAGCGGCGTGTGTGACGCGCGAAGTGTACCTGTGCATGCTCCGCTGCGAGCAGCAGCCGCGCTGCGGCCGATACCTCCGAGTCTCATCGACCTCCTGCATGTGCTCCCTCGCCGGCTGTTGGCCGGCAAAGAGGACGCCTCGGTGCGTGTGCTTGCGTACTGTTATGGCCGCAGCCGTTTCCACAGCTCTACGGTATTCCTGCAAAAAAGCACAACCCTCTTCCTCTACCTGGGCTCTCAGAGAGCCCAGGTCTGCGTCTGGCCCCCCAGGCCGCGCGAGGTCCGAGGATCGCGCACTGCGCCGATAAAATTAACCGATAATCGCACACCCCACAGCCACACGTGCGCGTGGCCGTGGGGGTGCGCGGGTGGTGCGTGAAGATATTTTTTGTACATTTGGAAGAGATAAAAAAAGACGAGTCTCGAGTGCGGGGCTGGGCCCTGGGGCTTTCAGGCTGTCAGGTGCTGTCAGGCGGTGCTGTCAGACGCTGTCGGAGCTGTCAGAGCTGTCAAGCCGCTGCTGCGGGGAGCTGACCGCCTGTCAGAGTACAGAGACGTAGGGCCGGTGCTGTCAGGTGCTGTCAGGTGGTGCTGTCGGGGTGGCGGGTGCTGTCAGGCTCTGACACACACATACCCCAGCCACACTTATGACACTTATCAAGAGGAGACCGCAGCCAGTGAGAGTAGATCCACACCGCAGGTTTCCTGGGGAGCGCAGATGGCGGCGCAGGCGCAGGCCGCGGCGGCGGCATGGACATGGACCACACTCACATATTTTGTTATAACCCCATGGGGCTGTACGGTCTGTAGGCCACTGGTGCTGTCGGCAGCCCGTTGATGGCGATCGCGAGGTCTCCGATCTCCAGTGACCTCCCTGATGAAAATACCCGTGCCAGGCCTACGATAACACACGAGCAATGGACCAAACAACGTAGAGCCTTCGATTGCGTGTCATGTCCAGCGAGGGTGGGCCGGAGCCGCCGCCGCCGGGCGGAGAGCCGGCGTCGGTCGAGAACTACACCGACCTCCTCGCCCACCTCCTCGCCGAGGTGCGGCAGATCAACCAGCTCGGCCAGCTGCAGGCGGCAGCGCTGCGGCGAACTGCCGATCGGATATCCACAATGGAGGGGAGGCTGCAATCCCTGGAGCACGCAAATTCGGCGGCGCTCACTCAGACCGCGCTGGAGCTCAACACGCTCTCCGCCCTTCGCGAGACCGGGCGCCATGCAGGCCTGACCATCGGAGCGCTGGACGTGCCTGAAGCGGACCTCCTCGCTGCAGCGATGATGCCTCCACCGCCAGTTCCGGCGGCGCCGCACGCCGCCGCACCGGTGGCGAGCAGCGATGGCGCTGGCCCCAGCGCCCCTCCACCCCGCGGCGAGCCCGGAGGCGTCAGCCAGGGCGTGATTCACATGGTGCGGCGGCCCCGTGTGCACGCCCTGCCCCGCCGGCCCAGCCCTTCCTGCTGGCGAGGTGCGGAGGGAAGTACGACTCGGCGTGGGTTTCGCACACAGCACGCTGAAAGCCGCGCCCGCCGCCTCCCCCCGCCGCCCGAGCCCCTTCCCTCCCTTTCCCTCAGGGCCAGGCCTCGCAATCCGTCTCTATACCGCTCGCCTCGATCATCGACGGCATCGAGCCTCACGTCGGCCTCTCGTCCAAGAGGGCGCGGAAAGACGGCGCCCGGCCGCCCGAGGGGGTGCCCGCACGTTGCCGCGTGAGGGAGCAGCAGGCGGGGTCGTCGCTCGAGCCGCCGGCCCCTGCAGCAGGGCCAAGGGGGACGGCAGCAGCAGGCGAGGCGGCGGCGGCGGTGGCGGGGCCGCCGCCGGGCGGGACTTCCGCGAAGAGCGAGCTGGTGCGCCCCGCCTTCTCGCTGCGTGGGCCCCCTGAGGGGGCACCCCTCCCAGACCAGGCGCCAGAGCCGTCGCCTTCGGAGCCGCCTCCCGGGCCTGCTGCGGAGCGGGCACCGGCGGGGCCGCCCGAGTAGACAAGTATTGAGGGCCTCGTGCACTTGCGCGCACGGCCCCTATTGAGTGAGGCATGGAGTGCCGTGCCACGGATTGCATGCTCCCACCCCATACTCAGTCGCGTCGTACCAGAGTCGTAGCACGGGTGTACCGGGTCGCAGCCTCCCCACAGCCACACACGAGATCTGCGTAGACTGCGAGACCCGCCTCGAGTGAGATAACGAAGATAAATAAATGAAAAAAAACGGACACCTCTACTGTGAGATGGGTAAAAAGGAACAGGTCCCCGCCCGTGCGATCTTTGTGCAGGGTGGGTTCAACGGTTGCTGCCAGCCTGGGTTCGAGATAACGAAGATACATGCCGGGATGGGGGGGGGGAACCCCAACCGCCCGATTTTTTGTGGGATGGGTTGCTTGCAGTTTGATAATGCTTTTGTAACTCTCTCGACGCGCGACGGACAGTGAGGGAGCGATGGGTGAGACTTGCGAGTCCTTCACGGCTCTACCAGCTACGAAGTACGATATCGGGCCCCGGGTCCGCTCAGGGTCAGGCTCTCCCCTAAATGCTAATCCTAAATGTGTCCACAGACACGTGCAACAACGTAGTATGAGAGGTGGATGGCTGCCTCCTGTGGGGGTAGCGCAGTTGGGCAACCGGAGATTCTGGAGTGCGGGAAGGGGGGGAAGTAAGCGTTGCACGATGGGAGAAGTGTTTCGGTCCTTTGCTTATCGGAAAAGTCGGAGTGTGTCGAGCGGTGCGCGCCGGCAGCGTTCGCAAGTCTTATGCTTCCCGCGCTTTTCAGAGCTCTGCACATACCGTTGTCACGGCCGCTCATCTTCGTCTCAGCGCCACGTCCTGACAGTCCACAGAGACGTTGCTCGTTGGCCCCAGCACGGCCGTAGTAGCTGCAAACCGCACCCTCTGATCACAATACTGTGCGGCACCGACGCGTGTGCTTCCGTACACGCATGCGACACATGACTTGTATGATTTCAGACCGGATCACCCGCGCGAGCCACACGGCGTGGTTTCACTGGGCCCACAAGAACCTTGCCGAACGCCTCGAAAAGCTTCATCTCGTGAGCGAGCACCTCGAATTCGGCCAACTCCAGCATGCCAGAGCTGTCAGAGTCCGCCGATGCAAAGATGCGACCCAGCTCTTCCGCCTGTGGCACAGAGGAATGCGGTCTCCAGTGTTGCGGGGTGCGCACGCGACAACCGCAATCTTTGGCGGGGGCTGTGCTGGCGCGCCCCTTCAGTTGTCCCAAAGGCAGCTTGCAGCTCAGCGAGGGAAATGCCGCCGGAGTTGTCCGCGTCGTACGCAGCAAAGAGCCGTGCCACTTCGGCGCGCTGACGTGCATCGTGGAAACGGGCGGTGAGGACTGGTGGCGAATGAGATGGTAAAGAGGCGGGAACGGTGGATTCTCGACGACCCACCTGTGCGGGCGTAAACGTGGGCCGTCCCTCCTCCTGCTCCTTCGGCTTCACCCATCCACACCAGGTGCGAATCTCTTCGCGGCTGGCGTTTGGATAATACATCCGTAGCATCTGCACAAAGCGGTAGCGGGCAACATGGGGGTGGGAGGCCGTGGTGTGAGTCCCACTCCCTCCGCTCATCTCACATCGCTATTGCATCGCTTCTCGCACCTCCTCAAAGGTTGAAAGAAGGGGGCGATGCAATCCCGCGCCTGAAATGAAGCGGGGCGCTTTTGAATGGGGCCTCCAAGCTTCCACCTCTCTGCTGGGCTTGCCCGTTCCCAAGCGAAGTGAAGCAGAGCCCCCCTCGCGTTGCTCTCGCTGCTCGGCTGTGTACGAGTCAAACAGATCAGCAACCTCACGCCGACGTAAATTCGCGGCTGCCTCGCGCGCCCGACGACGAAGTGATGAGGTTGCCTTGGCGAAGGTGCCGATGCCAACGGGAGCCTGAGGGGGCGCCGAAGCCTGCGCCGGGGGTACTGCTGTACTCGTAGCTGCTTCTCCGCGGGGTTCTCCTCGCTGCAGGAGGACGCGTGCTCGCCGCACGACCTGAGCTCGGTGCCAGCCTTTACTGCGCGCGCTGCTGGCGTCGATGAGCATCTGACACGCACACCCCGAGTAACTCGCGCGGCCGCAAGGGGGAGGGCAGGGCAAGAGGCGAGAAAGAGAAGTGAGCGGGAGGGTAAGGCGAGGGTAGGCGAGGGCGGCGATTACAAGGCTCGACAGCAGGTCGAGCTTGTCGCCCAGGGTTTCGGCACCCGACACGAGATTCGACCATCTGCTCACAGCGCCGGTGGAGTTTAGTCTACGAATACTGACGTAGGCAATGGCGTTGACGCATGGATGCACCGGGACCGCGAGTAGCCAAGTAGACCAAGTCGCTGCGACGCGAGAGGCATGCACGTTATTGGCGGTAGCGGAGGCGACGGTGGCCGGCTTGAGCTTGCTCGCGCCGCCAAGTGGACGCTACGCATGCCCAGCTCCAGCGACTGAGACTCTTCGCTTGCGATGACTGCCTCCGCAATGACTTTTGGTCGTGGAGAACTGAGATGCGTTGCAAACGCCTACACCAAGCAGACCCGCATTGTAATAGACAAGGCTGACGGCCGTGAGAGAGAGAGAGAGAGAGCTGCCTTATGGTCAACAGCAGCCTCAGCCAACGTGGGCGAGGGACTCGGTTCCATGGACATCACACGGCAGCGGCAGCCTAGCGGCGGGGCTGCGTGGGACGACCCACGGCGTCTCGCTCGTGCAATGGGGTCGTCGCGAATTTTCTCGTCAGCTTGCTGTGCACGCCCTGAGGCCGAGACGGGCGATGGCTTCGAAAAATCAGACCGCCGTGGCGATTGCGGCAACTTTGGGAGGGTAACTCTTGGCGAAGTTGGCTCTTTGCCACTTGATGCGACAGCCTTCTTCGGATCGTGAGCGATCGACCGGGACCATTCGTGCGCCTCGACTCGTGCTGACCATCCGTGCTGCGCCAGGAAAGCGCTCAGCTCGCCTTGCATGGACGGCGATGCTTGCCATTGGCTGCTCGATGCCGCCGACATTCAACTTTCTCGAACGTTTCACTCCTGGAAATGCCAAACCTCGTCGATCTTGTCCGTGGCGGCACGGCAGAGGAGGTTGTGGAGGCTCTCGCTACATGGCCCGGAGGCGTGTCGGGTCTGTCGCCGCAGGGTGAGTCGCCGCTGGTTGCGTGCGCCGAAGTCGGTCGCGTGAAGCTCCTCAAGGCCATGCTCGCTGCGGGTGCATCCCCCGATGCTGCAAGCTCTTCTGGACTGACTGCACTCGCAGCAGCGTCGATGGTGGGAGCACTCGAGTGCACCGTCGCGCTTCTTGCCGCAGGCGCTACTCCCGACCTACCCACTGGCCGTGCAAGAACCACTCCGCTGAGCTACGCAGCACAGGAGGGCTTCCGGGGTGTGTGTGAGGCACTTCTCAATGCTGGGGCTGACGCCACAGCACCTGACTCCTACGGCGTCTCGCCGCAGCAGTATGCTCTTCGTCGTGCAGAGGAGAGAAGCGCTCGCAATGCTGAGCTCCACACATGGATGTGCAGAGCAGAGGAACGCGCCGAGGCGCTGGAGGCTGAGCCAACGCCCGCACGTCCTCTATTCCCAACGGACTTGAAGGCTTCGCTCGAGGAGTGCCACTCCTCCTCCCTCCCCACCTCGATTCTCTGGCGAGCCGGTCCATGGATACACGAGCAGCAAGGCCCCTCGGCCTCTGTCGTCAAGCAGCGCGAGCCGCGCCCCTTCTCCTGCACCGGCTTTGGGGTTAGCCCACCGGATCACCCAGTGGCCGCTTCTGTCCTGCCTGGCGGTCGGATGGCAGACCTGGCGATTATCGAGGCGATCGACGACGGGCTGCGAGCAAAAGTTGCGCTGGAACGATCGGCGCAGAACCCGCAGCTCTATGCTGATGACGTGCAGACCAGCGTGCGCGGCGTGCAGCAGACGTGTCTGAGCGTGCTGGCCGTGGGCAGGCTTTGCCGAGCCGAGGAGGCTCGCTTCACGGCCGAGCATCCGGAAGCTGCAAAATGCATCCGACGGAATGACGGTGGAGGCGTTTACTACGGCGAAATGCAAAAGGAACTCGTGGCTGCGCCGAATGCCGCCGTCTCTCTCGTCCCCATCATTGAGGGCTCAGACTCGGCGATGGGTGTGCGGCTCGGCACAACTGTTGCAAACGGAGTGCCTGCGGATAGCTTGGTAGAGGTCCTACAAAGGGCTCGTGAAGCGGACGACGGCGAGGAGGAGAGTTCTGAGCAGTGATGATTGTATTGCGCGCGAGTTCGTACGATAAGCCCACAACTAGAGGGTCCACAGCGTCCTAATCTAAAATCTGAGGATTCAGGATTGAGGCATCGATTCAGTGAGGCCAAAGTGAGTTTATGGATGTGTGAGAACGGTACGGGACACGAGGAGTCACGCGGACCGACTCGTCGGTGACTCTGCTGCACGCCGTTTCAGAATTTTTCTCAGCATGAGCGAGACGTGGAAGAGTGCCACCGTCGGGTAGGACGGGTCGGCCCGGAGTATCAGAGTAGCCGTCGTGGTCGCGGCGAGCAGCGCCGGCCACTCCGGCGCCGCGTCGGCAACATGGGAGCATGTCCACCGCCACTTCGCGGTCGCAGCGCTGTTTGTCGCCCGAAACGCCGCATGTACCTCTGGCGGGCCAAAGATCGACTCGCATGTCGATTTCGACTTGACGGCGGCATGGAGGCATCACGTCTCCATGCCGCCGTCAAGTTGGAGCCAGTCTGCGGCGATCACAGCGCTCGCAGGAGGTACATGCGAGCTATTCAGAGTCAAGCGATTGCGCGAAATCCCACACTGGTGGATTTTGGGGCGCTGTGGACCCTCTACCACAACACACCGTCTTGTGAAAGCCCAACACCGTCTCAGGTAAAACACACAGGGATACACGATTCTCAGTCCGCAAGGACTCGAGGTGGCGATGGCAAAGCGCCAAAGAGCGCGGTTGCTGCCAGGCGAGAGTCGGCGTCTACTCGGCTCTTGAGCGCGGTGGAGCTGGCGGCGAGCTTGGCCGCCGCTTGCAGCTTCGACTTGACCTTGACCCATTGCCCTGTGGTCGGCACAACCTTGTCCGACGGGACAGACAGATAGAATGGCTCCGTCGTCATCCACCTTGCCTTGGTGATCGGCCTCTCAAAGTTGCGCACCTGCCGCGCCTCTGCCCCCTCCAAGGCCGGAGTGGTGTGCACGGACCCCAGTTGTGGCAAACGCCGGCCGCCAACCTGAGGGCAGAAATGGGGCTGCTGGGTCGGTACACCGCGAGGTAAGACTAGTGAACCCCGCGCGCACCTGGCGTACGAAGTCGGACTGGCCCATTCGTGACGCCTTGGACAGCCAGATCTCCTGCTGCTTCAGAGCGTTGATGCTGCTCCACATGTGCACAGCCAAGGGCAAGGCTGCCTGCACGGCACAGGACTCCAGGCCTCCGCTAACACGACAGATTCGATGCTCGGCTGCACGAGCTGCTCGACGCGTCACCCTCGGGCCCACCCCGCTATAAGCCTGGAATTTTTTTATTGTGAAGAGCCACGAGGCGCCGTGCACAAGACGTTCGCCCCTCAAGGGGCTCCTTCTTGAGGAGGGGCGTCGCAGCGCAGCGGTGGCGCCGAGATGTCCGCGGCGGCAGCTGCCGAGGACTCGCCAGAGGAGCTCGAGCCCCGCGAAAAGATGAAGGAGCTGGCCGAGGGTCTACGCGCGCGGAGGGACACCGTCGCGGGCGTCATCAGCCAGAGCACCAACTCAGCGGCGGCCCTGTTTACCAGCTACATGATGCCGTTTTTGGGGATCGCGCTGTCAGCCCCCCTCGGGTTCGTCCGCGACCCTGCTGTCCTTTTCCAAGGCCACTTTTGCCTGTGGGTGGGAACCGATTCGGAGACCGACGCGGAGGTGCAGGGGGAGCGAGCTCGGCTCGGCGTGGTCGGCGCCAAGCACAGCTGGCCTCGGTTTCTGGAGATCCTGTCCATCCTGAGCAACGCCCCATCCACGGAGGAGGCGGAGGACTTGGCTCTGAGTCTGCTTGAGGATCCGGACCTCCATTACTTTGCCAACGCTCTGCCGCGCCCGCCCGGCACCTACGAGGACTCGATGGGCACACACTACCAGGAGATGACTCAGGACGAGATGCAGGATGGCGTCCGCAGCTTTCTGTCGATGGCCTTTGAGTTCGGCGTCAAGGCGCAGGCGAGCGAGGCCGGCCAGCCTGGGATCGTCTTTGGGGCGAGCCGGGTGGTTTCGACGCTGCGGGTCATTGCGGAGCGGTGCGCTCAGCAGTCATCCGGCGCGACTGGCCACTGGTTGGACATCGCCTTTCTCTCAAGCAGAGAACTGCACATGCGGCCAGAGGCGGTGCTGGGCTCAGACCTTTGCCTGGTGCAGTTTGTGGCTGGCGACGAGCCGGAGCCTCTCACCACTCTCGTCTTCGCCTCGGGACCCCACTTTGGAGCTCTCGGCGTTGGCGCTGGCACTGTCCTGAAGTACATCCCATTTGCCGGCCTGTCGAAGTGCTCCTCACCGATCCAGCCGTCGATGTGCGCCTCCATGCGCTGCCAGAACAGAGGGTCGGCTTGTTGCAGCGGCTGCCATCTTTCTTCCTTCCGCGGCACTGTGGAGCTGTCCTGCCATTCATCGCCACGACCTCTGCTCGTGATCCGAAAAGGAATTCGAGCGGAGCGATGCGGATGTGGTTTGCGCGCGACGTGCCCTCGTGGCGCTGCCTTCTTGCGGGGAGGACGTGGGAAAAATAAAGAAAAGGAAAATTCGAGCGAGAGCGCAGAGCGGGACTCCGGGACAGAGCTCAGAGGTGTAGCCGCGGAGCCGCGGGTCTTGTCGACGGGTCTTGTGTGTGCGGCGCGACGCAGAAGGTGCTTGTGACTTGACACTTGTGTGGCATCCGGTTGGTTGCTTCCCCCAGGATTAGTCTTCTCTACTGAGGGGACGAACTAAGGGCGGCTGGGCGGGGCTGCGGCCGGAGCTAGCATGGCTCGTCAGAGCCAAAACCCCTGCGAGGCGGCGCTCCGCCGATGGGCGGCTACCTAGCCAGTCGCGAGGTTCTAACCGCTGCCGTGCAGATCGGCCTTCGGGGCGCGAGAGACAAATAAACAACAAAACAAACAAACTATGCCAGCGGGAGATATTCGGCAGATGTGTGTATCTCCCGATCTCATCCCGGTGATGGACACGTGCGTGCGTCCCGCGGCTTCTTGTGTTGCGTTTTGGACGTCCCTCTTTTCGTTGTGTCTTGTGATCTCGCATGGCTCCCCGACCCCGTCCCCGCGCCCAGCGAGACGCTCAGTTGCTGTGGCGGCCGCAGTCTTTCTGTGAGGAGGAGGCTGCGCTGGCGCAAGCACGGGCGGGAGGGGTTTCTCCTGCGGAGTCGTGCGTGCGCGGGGCTCCTCTTTGCGAATACTCCCTTCTCCCTACATACATCTCGAATCTCGTATACCCGTTCTACCAGAGGAGTCAAGAGATACAAGAGAATCAATAATACGCTAAACGGTCGATAAACGGCAACGCGCCCACCCCACGCAGGCGACGAGGACGGGAGCTCGGCAACTCTCGCCGTCGTGGCCGCGGGCGTCGCCCGCCCGCCCGCGAGCCTGGCCCTAGCGGTTGCGCTCGCGAGTTTCTCCCCGCCGGCCGCCGCCGCCGGGCTGTGCCGCGCAGACTCCTCCGCCCTGTCCTCGGGCAGTGGGCCGGGAGGTAGGCTGAAGGCACGCGGCGAGGCAGAGCGCCGAGGGAGGCGGGTAGGCGGGGTGGGCGGGAAGGAGGAGGGGGGCGAGCTCGCGGCGCGCTAAAAGAGGGAGAAGCCCGACTTCTCCTTGACCTCGAGCAGCTCGACCTTGAAGGGGGGGAGGGGGGGGGGGAGGGGGCTCGAGGGAGGGGACCCGACGCCGCGACGCCTCCGCCCCTCGCACGTGCGACCGAGGAGCGGCCCGATGTGACAGCGCACGAGACGTGGCCCCGGGGGGAGGGGAGTGGTCGGGGGTGAGGCGGGGGTGGCAGGACTGCCGCGGCGCGCCTCGAAGCGCAGCGCGGCGTTGCCCGGGATGGTTGGTGGCGCGCCCATCGGTCCGTAGGCGAGGTCTGCCGGGATGGTGAGCGTCGCCTAATCTCGGGTAATCTCGGGTAATCTGGGGCGGTGAGCGTCGCCTGTTCCGGAGGTGTGAGCCAGAGGCGGCGTAGGAAGTGTCTAGGAAGCGCCGCCTTCCCGCCGGGCCGCATGCGCTGCAGCCCCTCGCCCCACCCCTTGATCACTTGCTTGAGCTTGAACTCGGTCGGCTTTTCGCGGTCGTACGACGAGTCGAAGACGGTGCCGTCGGCGAGCGAGCCCTTGTACTGCACAACCACCGTGTCCTCCATCGTCGGGCAAGCGCCTTCGCCCTCGGCATGGCTCTTGAAGACGAGGCCCGAGGCGCTCGTCGTCGCCCCCTCCTCGGCAGACGCCTCGCGCAGGAAGGCGCCCGCTGCGGCCGCCATCTCGGACGCCGCCGCCTCCTGCTTCTCCCACGCCGCCGCCTCGGCCTCGGACTGCGGCCGGAAGATGGACCAGGAGAACCAGCCGACGTAGAGCGCGGCGAGCGTCCAGCCGACCGGCGTCACCTCGAAGGGCGACAGAATAATCGGCGGTCTGTTCAGCTCGTACGACCAGTCGATCTCGGCGAGCGCGAGGGTTGAGGCGGCGGCCGCCGTCGAGGCGTGCACCGCGGACGGCGCGGCGAGCGGTCCGGCGACGGCGAGGGCGCGGCCGACGACGGCGCCGGTAGGCGGGGCGGCAGGCAGCTTGAGCGCGAGAGAGCTGAGCGCGAAGTATGCCATGGCAATTGGTTGGCGCGAGTAAAGAAACTTCGGGGTTGTTTGGTTTGTCCGCAGCGAGAAGCGGCGAGAGACTGCGAAGAGAGATAGGAAGAGGCAGACTCCCTAGGGTGGGCGACGGCTAGCACCACACTCCTCTCCTTAAAATCCCTGTGTGGTGGCGGCGTGCCGTCCTCCCATCCGCGCCATCCCTCCCTTGCGCCTTGGGTTGTCTGTTTTCTTTCTTTCTTTGTGTCCGCAGCCTTGCCCTCGTGCCGCCGAGTGCATATCCTCGTGCAAGCCCCACCCGGGTGGCGGGTGGACCAAGGGGCGCTCCGCCCTGCTTGCTCTAGGTGAAACGTCTGAAGGACGAAGAAAGCACGAAGGTGCGACCAACTCAGCACGACGGGCGGAGAAGACGGGCACTAGACCAGGAAGGACTGGGAGAGTGTGAATGGAGGGACACGTGTGGTTCAGACGTCCCCCCCCTCGACGTAGTCGAGTCACTCACATGGATAGAGAGGAGAGTGTCCCTCTCGACGGGGCATGGACTGGATGACATGCACTGGAGAGTCTATGGCTCTCGCGGGTGGGGGCGGGGCGGCACTGTTCGCGCTCGCGGCCGGCGCCCGCGCTCCGTCTCGGTGACGGATCGGTGACGGAGATTCACTTCCCATCCGACTGGGAGGAAGGCTCCTTGACATTCATGATCTTGTCCCGCAGCTCGAAGAAGCGCTGGGGTTTGAGCGGCTTCGTGAAGAAGTCGGCAAGGTTCTCGTCGCTGCGGACGAAAGGAACACAGATCTTGGCTTCCTCGATGGCCTCGCGGATGAAGACGTCTTGTGGACAGTTCCGACCTGCGCAAAATCATCGGCGGTGGGTGACTGACTGTCATCGGCGACGAACTCGAGCAAGTCGGCAAAGTCACGCGTCTTGAGCAGCTTCAGCTCGTAGCGCGCGCAGCGCACCGCATCGTGTTGGGTGCAGCAAACAGTGGGCGCAATGTTGTCTATGTAGACAGCGCCATTCGTAATGAGGAAGAAACCGATGCCATCGTTGTGATGCAGTCGGCTCCACTCGAGAAGAGTGGCCAGGTTCGCCGCAAGCCCGTCGAGGGCGGCGGCACGGTCGAAACTGCATTCCGTCACCATTGCATCAGCTTCTTGTTTAGCGCCATGTAGGAGATCCCGAATTTCGGAATACTCCAAGGCTTTGGTGGGCGTGTCAGGCATGGCCTGAGCAGTGGATAGCGTGTCGGGCTTCACAAAGGGGCTGACGCGACCAGTCGAGTCGCTGCCACGTGCAAGCCCCACCCGGGCGGCGGGTGGACCAAGGGGCGCTCCGCCCTGCTTGCTCTAGGTGAAACGTCTGAAGGACGAAGAAAGCACGAAGGTGCGACCAACTCAGCACGACGGGCGGAGAAGACGGGCACTAGACCAGGAAGGACTGGGAGAGTGTGAATGGAGGGACACGTGTGGTTCAGACGATCCTATGCGAGAGAGATCCCTGTGCCCTGTGCCCAGCCCTCTCCGCGCGGCGATGCGCCCTCCCCCCTCGCTTTTGCAAAATCCTGCAAAGGTGGGGACGTGTCTGTCCTCGACCCAGCCCTAGGCCTAGCTTGGGATGTCCGTTGTATTTATTTATTTATGTGTCCGTTTTATTTTGTTTTTAGGTCTGTTCTTGGCAAAGCATTTTATTTATTTATTTATTACCGACCGACTACGTCAAGAGTCGCCAGAAACCCCGAGGAGTCACACAGATCACAGTCCACCTGTGATTTGTGTGAGCTCTGTGCCTTGACAACAACAAAATCTCTCTCTCTGCCTTGATCTGCTATAACCAAAAGTGAAATAGTGAAAAAGAAATCGACCTGCGTTGCCCTTGAGGCGGCCCTGGGTTCCGGCTCCTACCCGGATAGGGGGTCTGTTGGGACTGACTCGCGCCAAAACGCCCTACCTACCTACCTATCCCCAGGCCGCGCAGCGAAGCGAAAAAAGATGAAAAGAGGGGGTACCTACCTATTGCAGGGCCCTTTTGGGCCAAACAAGACCAACCTACCTACCTATCTGGGAGGGGCCAGCCAGTCTGACAGACCCCCTATCTGGGTAGGAGCCGGAACCCTGGAGGCAGCTTCTCGACGACTCCCTCGCCAGCGGTTGCTGTGACGACGACAACAACAACAACTCTCTCTGACAACGACCTCGCCGAAAGTTCAAAACGTGTGTATGGAGTGCCGCTCACTCCTCCTCGGCGCCGCCGCCGGCGCTGCCGCCTTTGCGATCCTCGATCGGCTTCGGCGGCGACGCTTGCGGGGAGGCACGTACCACGCTGGCATGATTCGCGCCCGGCCCGAGCTGATCGAGCAGTACCAGCAGCTGCACGACAAAACGTGGGAGGAGGTGATGGCGAGAATGTATGCGAGCAACATGCGCGACTTCGTCGTGTGGTTTCATCCCACCACGAACATGATGTTCCATCAGTTCATCTACGTCGGCACAGACTTTGACGCCGACATGGCGCGCGTCGCCGCCGACCCGGTCGTCCGCTTCTGGTGGACGTATTGCGAGCCGTGCCAGGAGCCGCTGCACTGGAGCGGTCCGCCGCCGTCGCAGGGCGGCGCTGGCGACCCAGCGCACCCGGGCGAGTGGTGGTCGCCGCTCGTGCAGGTCAATCACTGCGGGGGCTGGGCGGTCGACTTTTCCCCGCGCCTGGGTCCGAACCCGTCCTACACGCCAAACCACCCGGCCGGCAAGACGTCCACCAAGGACGCGCCGCCTCTTGTGCACAACCGGACGGGCCCGGCGGCGGGGTGGACGAGCTCCAAACAGCCGCCCTTTGTCGCGAGCTGAGGCCGCGCTGCTGGCACTGTCGGACAACCGTGATACGTGTGTGCGATGGCGTTTGAGGGAGACGCGCGCGTCGTGCGCGGCAGCGACTCGCCGCGATACCGTGCCGAGGCATCAGTGGTGAGACTGACGTATGTGGAGTGCTGGAGCCACAAAACGGTTGGGTAGGAGTGTGAGACGTTTGGGTGTGCGTGCGACTGCGAGAGGCCTCTATCGATCGACTGCTGTTCGAGACTGTGTAACAGTGGTCAATCGTACTGTCATGCAAATCAACGCTTACTAAAGCGCCCCTCTCTCTCCTGCACCCTCCCCGCTCTACGACATGCATCATGGTTGCTGATGCTCTCTGGGCAGACCGTCTCTCTCTCTACGGCTCTATAGTATACGGCTCTATAGAGAGGCGGGGGGGTGCTATCCTGTGTATGTGTACTGTGTATGTGTATGTGTACTGTGTATGTGTGCATTCGCGCGCTCACCCCTCACCTACCGGCGGCCATGCGCGCACCCCCCGCGGACCGGACGGCTGTCCGCGGCTCCACAGTCCGCCACATCGATGGGCTCGCGCGCGGAATGCTCTACGCTACACACGCACTCGCTGGCCCGGAGTCCCCATGCATGTCGCATGTGCACAAACCTCTCCCACAGCCCGCATGAAAGATGAATGTGCACAAACCTACCCCAGCCCAGTGCCCTCCGCCCATGACGCATGAGGCGAGATGGCGCACAGAAGAGATCCCCGCAGAGTCAAAACGTTGCCGCAGTCAGCATCACGGCCGTGGCACCCCCGCGGCGACGCCACCCAAGCCTATATTTGGCACCTTGCGTCCCTCGTGCTCTATCCGCCTCCCTGTGGCTACCGCGGCCCCTTCCCATCCCACAGTTGCCCGTTCTTGCCGAGGATCGAGGCGAGCGTCTCGGCGGCCATTGTGCGCGCGGCCAAACATCTAGTCCTCCAAATCCTCGGGCATTATCGACACGGCGCCCATCCTCTCGATGAACTCGACATCGATGCCGGCCGCGCTCTCGCTCATGAGGCGGAGGAGCCGAGGCATCCACTGGAGCAGCACTGGCTGCACCGCTCGCTTGAGGGTCTCGTCGCGGTCGTGCAGCTCGAAGACGACATCGAGCAGGAGGGCGAGCGGCTCCCTCCCGGCAGGCCACGCGAGAAGAGCGCGCGTCTCCCGCGCCCAGGCGCGGAGGAAGCTTTGGAGCGCGCAGACGCGGAGGGCGACCATCTCTTCCAGCTCGTACTCGGGCAGCAGCTCCGGAGGGAAGACGAGGTCCAAGGCTTGGCAGGGCAACGCCTTGATCAAGTCCGCGAGGCCGTGCGGATCGAGCAATATGCGCCCCGACTGCGCAGCGACCCACTCGCCCCTCGCGCGCTCTCGCTCGCGGAGCTCTGCCAGTTCGGGGCCCTCCCAGTTCTCCGGCTCGCGGATGGGCTCATACAGCTTGACGGTAATCCGGGCGAGCCAGGCAGGCTCGGGCGAAGTCTCGTGCAAGGCCGCAAGGGCGAGCTGCAAGACTGCCGAACGGAGGTAGAATAACCCTGGCTTGCGGCGGAGGCAGTGCGGCGCCTCGTCGGTCTCGCCGTCGAAGGCCCGATACAGCTCGCGCCCACCCTCGGGCTCGGAGAGCATCATCTGGAGGCGCGCGATGCCGCTGGTGGTCACGCCGCACAGCCCCTTGTCCAGCCGCTCTGCCGCCCTCCACAGCTCTAGAACGAGGGGTGGCGTCCACGCAGCGCGCTGCAGGGTCATCCCAGCAATCGCACCGATCCGAGCCATCCAGCCGTCAAGGCCGTGAGCTCGCTCTCGCACCCCTCTCTCGCCATTCCAAACCGACCATGTCGCTCGGCGAAGCGGTTCTGGTGTCGCCTTCACGTGGGCGATGATCTGCTCCGGCGTGCTCCCGACTGCCGCGGCGCAGAGCAGCGACACGTGGAGCTTTGCAAAGTGCGAGTGCAGCTCAGAGAGGAGAGTATGGACAACCCGCGCCTCTGAGCCTGCGTCCCATCTCTCGAGCGCACGCGCTGCGGCCTGCGCGGCCGTTACGATGCCGTTCCGGTCGCGGTGCGGCTTGAGTCTTCTTGGGTAGTACACCTCAAGGCAGAGCGCTCGGAGCTCCTGCCCGCGCAGCCCGGGCGCTCTTTGGAGGAACGGGCTCTGCGGCATTTCCAACCCCAGCGCACGCCCACGATCTACGGCCTCCATCAGGGCGTCGAGGTCGCCCCGTCGAGTTCGCCCCGACGCAGTTCTCTCGGCACGTTGCTTCTGGTCAGAGATGAATTCCACCAGGTTATCGCATAGGTCTGAGTCGGCGGCGCGCCGCGCGACCACAGAGCAGAGAGCCTTGCTCATCTTCGCGGTGCTCGTCAACACACTGTGCGGCAGAGAACGCATGATCAGCAGCTGAAGTTCGGGTGGCAAGCTCGCACAGGCCCTCGCGGTCGGCGGCGACGGCGGGCATCATTGCCTCTGCAGTATCTGATACAGCGAGCCCCTGGGTTCTGGCGGGCTCGCGAGCGGCGCGGGGGCATCGTCGGATTGTATTCTATCACATTACCACCTTGCACCGCGGTACAAGCCGGGGGGGGGGGGGGGCGCGGCGGGCGCTGGGAGCCTACAATGTATTTATTCACAGAGGGCTCAACTGGTATTTTTCGCTTCGCTGCGCGGCCCCGCAATAGGTAGGTAGGTGGGGCACGGAGCCTGGCGGTTGGCGCCCGCAATAGGTAGGTAGGTAGGGCGTTTTGGTGCGAGTCATGGGGAACAGACCCCCTATCTGGGTAGGAGCCGGAACCCTGGTGGGCGTGTCTCGTCAAACCCTTCTTCTCCCCCCCCCCCCCCCTGTGTTCGCAACCCGCCAGTCCGCACTCCCTCCTCCCCCATGCCCCCATCACATCTCGTAACGAGATGTGAAGCTCACGCACCTCGCCCCCCCTCTCGGCTCTCGCGCACGGTGTTTGCGGGAGTGCGCGACCTCCGGGCCGAGGCGGAGCGGGTCGCCTCCCAGCTGGTCAGCCTCCTACCGCTCCCCACAGGGGACGCGATAAGCAGGGTCACAATCTCGTTCACCTTCTCCGCGTCCGACGCCACGTCGTCCTCGGCGAACTTTAGCAGCGCCGCGCGCCCGAGCGCCTCTTCAAACTCGATGTAGATGAGCGTGCGGCACGAATCGGCCTCAAAGTCAACGAGCGCCTCGTCGATCTGGGCCGACACGAAGGCCTGCCGCAGCTCGGTGATGGTGAGCGCCGAGTCGATGAGCTGTGCCGCCTTGAACATGTGCAGCCAGTCGTCGAACGTGATGAGGCCCATGTGCTCCTTTGAGTTGTCCTTCGATGTGTAGGCCTCGAAGATGGCCTGCAGTTTTGCAGAGTGCCGCACAAAGACCTCGCTGCACTCGCTCTCGGCGAGTCGCTCCCGCACAATCTGACCATTGGAGACGAAGAGGTCATGCTTGAAGACATGCTCCGTAAGGAACTCCTCGAGGCAGTCGGGCAGCGGCACTTCCGGGTTGTGCGGCTTGGCTTGCCGCATCACGGAGAGCCGCACGATCGACTCCAGAAACTCGTGCAGGGTAAAGGCGCGGCGCGGGTTGAAGGGGTCGTCCCTGTTCTTGGAGTTGATGGAGGTGAAGAGCAGTGTGATTTGCGCGAGGTTCAGGTAGCGGGTCGTGGCGCGCGAGTTTTGGCAGAACTTCCAAAACTCTGCCAGCGACATGGTGAACATGCTTGCGGGCGCCCCTCCGTGCGGGTGGTTCGAGGCGGAGTACTCGCGGTAGATGTGGGCGAGGCGCTCGAAGAAGCGGTACAGGATGGCCCTGCAGTCGCTCTCCACGAGCGAGAACCCCGGCAGGTCGCCCACGTTCATCGCCTTCCACACGGCTTGGAAGGCCTCGTAGACGGCCTCGTCGCCATCCCCCGCCCCGTCCTCCTCCTCCTCGCCCCCCGGAGCGCCGGAGCCGCTCACCATGCCCTGGCGGCCAGCCAGCTGCCAGTCTCGAAAGTTCCCCGTCCGCGTCCGGCGCAGCATCTTTGGCCGCTTGTCCTGCCCATCGCCCTCGCCCTCTCCCGCGAGCAAGAGCTGCGCCTCGAGGGGGCTGATCTGCCGGACGCCGTCGCCGTCGCCGTCGCCGTCATCTGCCTCCAAGAGGCCGCTGCCGCCGCCCGCGAGCAGAATCCTCGAGGAGCCCCGGGACGAACGGCTCCGGCGGCGGGCGAGGCTGCTCTCACCCCGAGGAAGCTGGCGGCTGCCCACGCCCGAGTTTGGCTTGCCGTCACCGACTTCGATCCACACGTGAGCTCCGTCGCAGAGCTCGTCGGCGATGCGCGACTGGTTGGATATGTACTCGCGCGCCTCGGAGGGTCCCGGCGCCGTGTCGCCGGGGGGCAGGCGCAGCACCGCCCTCGGCGTCAACTCGCGCGAAAACGGCTTGGAGTAGGAGCCGAGGTCAGAGAGGTACCGCTGCGTGGCCACGGTCGCCAGCCAGAAGACCTGCTGCCGGCCCGAGCCCGTGTATATGGGTATCACCCTCTCTCGGAGGTGGGCGTGCACGGTGATGCGGCCATGCGGCTCGCCGAGAGTCTCATCCAGCGACCTGCCCCCGCCCTCTGCTTCCGACGCGGCGGCCGGGTCGACGCTGGACCTCGGCGGCCCCGGGAAGTCGCCCTGGGGCGGAACGACGAAGCCGTGCCCTTCATAGCTTTGAGCGAGGCGGGCCAACCGGCCATTGGCGCTCTCGGGGAGGGCCGGCATGGTCCCTCCTCGCGGACTTGGGGGGTGAAACGTTCGGAGGAGGGACGTGCAAGTGGAGTGCAAGGAAAAGATACGAGCCGAAAAGAAAATGCGACAACCAATGCCAATGCCAGCCGCGCATGCTGCCGACGTTATCATCGCCAAGTCCCTCGCCTCCGACCAGAGGCTGACTGTGCTCCTATGGGGAGTGGAGGTGCTCGAGGCTCTCCTCGCCAGCGGCGGCGACCTCTCGCACATCGAGGAGGTCGTCCTCTGCTCGAGCGATGGCCCAGCCGAGTCGGCGTGCCCACCCATCGCCGTCAGCAGCTGGCGCTGCCCCTGCAAAAGGCCAGCCCAGCTCGCCGCGCTGCGTCGCGCCATCCTGAAGGGTGAGCGGCCGCGGGTTGCGGTCGTGTACGCGTCACCGCCGGCCACTGCCAGCGTGGCACTGCGGTGTGTTCAGCTCTACTCGTCTCTCCCGCAGTCGTGTCTCCTCATCCTCGCGCCAGAGACGCCCAGTCGCGAGGCCGGCACCTTCGGCGGCAGCAACAAGGTCGTCTTGTGTGCGGGCAGAGAGCGAAGGACGCTCCACCAGCTGGGAGGAGACCGTGCGGCACGCGCGGCCGCCTGGCGCTCCTTTCTCCTCGCCGGAGCCGGAGCCTCGGCGAGCGAGGCGGCGGAGGCGCCGGCCGGCCTCGTCGTCGCCTCCCGGTCGCCCGAGGGGGCGGAGGCGGCTGGAGGCGAGGCGGCGGCAGGAGGCGGCGAGGCGGCGGAGGGCGAGTCCTGCCTCTTCCCTCCCGTCGTCCTGTCGGTCGTCGACCAACTCGCCGAGCTGCGGCGCGCGGCCGACCGGCTGGTGGTGGGCGGGGGCGAGGCGGGCGCGCAGTTTCCGCTGCGAGGCGGGTGGAGCGGCCGGCTGGTGCCGAGCTGCGCGTCTCGCTACCAGGGCGGCGGGTACGCGGCTCACCACTACGTTGCCGAGCCGCCTTCGGAGCACTCTGCGTGCTACGAGCTGCGGCTGGAGGAGGGGGAGGGAGAGGTGCAGTGGGAGGGGGGGGGCGGGGCGGCGGGCGGGGCGCGGGTCGGCTACATCGCCCTCCTTCCCTACGGGAGCAGCGAGCCGAGCCTGCAGTTCCCGACGGCGGTGGCGTGGCGGACGCTGCACGCGGCGCAGGAGGGGCGCGAGGTGGCCTTGCCGCCCCGCCCGTGGACACGTCCCACGACCCGTCCGCGGCGCGTCCACAGGTGGAGCGGCTGGTGGTGCTGCCGTCTTGCCGCGGCAGAGGGGTGATGCGCGCCCTCCTCTCCGCCTGCGACGCCTTCCACTCGCTCGGTCCCGCGCCGCAACCTCGAGGAGAAGGCCACGACACGTCCACGACATGTCCGAGACATGTCCTCCATAGGTCCCGCGCCGCAACCTCGAAGGAGAAGGCCGATTCGCCTCACCCGCTCACGCCACGACCCCCCCCCCCCCCCCCCTCCGCAGGCCTCCCGGTGCGCGTCAAGACGGGCCGGCAGGCGAGCTGGAGCCTTGCCCCTAGCCTTTCCCCTAGCCTTGCCCGCAGCCTTCTCGGAGCCTTCTCGGAGCCGTCCGGCAGGCCGTCCACGACACCTTCCTCGCCAGCAGCGCACTCGCCTACGAAGGCCACCGCGAGGCGGCCGTCTGCGGCGTGCGCCGCCCGCTCAAGCGGTACGCTCGCGTGCTGCCGCCGGAGGCTGCGCTGCCGTCGCCCTCTCCGCCGCCGCCGTCTCCCCCACCTCCGCCGCCGTGGCAGCCGTCGCCGTTTGCGCCGCCGCCGCGTGCGCCGGCAGGCAGGCAGGCTCCTGGCTGCCGGCAGCGGGCGGGAAGTGAGACGGCGAGCAGCGCCGGCGAGGCTGCTGCAGCCTCGCCTCTGCCACCCCCGCAGCTGGCTGCCCCTGCAGTGGCGGCTGACGCTTCGGCGGGGGCGGCGGCGGAGGCGGCGGGGGCGGCGGCGGAGGCGGCGGAGGCGGAGGCGGCGACGCTGCGCGCGGTGCGGTCCCACGTCAACAAGCTGACGCCGGAGAGCGAGGCGCTGCTGCTGCCGCGCCTCGCCGCCCTCTGCCGCAGCCGCCGCTTCAGAGCGCTCACGCCGACCCTCCGCCTGCTGGTCCGCCGCGCCGCGCGAGAGCCGGTCTACGCCGAGCTCTACGCCCGCAGCGTCGCGGCGCTGGCCTCTCTCCTCTGCGCCGCGCCTTCCGCCGCCGAGCTCGCGTCGGGGGGCGGCGGCGCGGCCGCGGCTGCCGAGGGCGGCGCCTGCAGCAGCGCCGCGGTTGCGTTTGCGCTCGCGGCGGTGCTGCGCGAGCTGCTTCAGTCGGACCTCGCGCTCGAGGGGAGCGGCGACGGCGGCGCGGGCGGCGCGGTGGCCCAGCTCGCCGCCGCGGGCCTCGTCGCCCCGGCCGCGTTGTGCGAGTTGTTGCGCGGGGCGCCGCTCCCGCTCCTCGTGGCGGCGCTGCGCCGCGCGGGCGGCTTGCTGCACGCGGCGGCGGAGGCGCAGCTGCAGCCGCTGCTCGAGCGGCTCGCCGCGGCGGCGCCCGCGCTGGCCGGCCCTCTCCGCTGCCGCGCACTCGAGCTGCTGCAGCGGGCGGAGCGCGGCTGGCCGCAGGAGGCGCGCGAGGCCGCCCGAGGGCGTGCGACGGCGCTGGCGGAGGTGCGGCAGGTTGCGGCCGCCGAGCTGGGCGTCATCCTCCTCCCGCGCGACGCGCCGCCGGAGCGGCTTCGCGGCTTGCGCGAGGGGTGGGTGCACTGGTACGTCGGCACGCCCGTGGTGCACCCCTCTTTTCCGCACACGAGATTTCAATTCTTTGAGGAGAGCGGCCGATTTCAATTCTTTGAGGAGACGAATGGAGCTGCGCCCGTGCTGGCGGGGACGTCGGACGAGAGTCCCTCGGCCCTCCGATCCGAGTGCTCTGATCGCGCGTAGGGAAATTCAGACATTCTTTTGCGGATGCGCTGGCTGAGACTTTTTGTCATTTGTGGTGCCTGCCCGTGCAGTTCGGGCGAGCCAGTCGTCTTTTCTGCTTACGGGTTACGGCTTTACGTATAAAAAAGAAAGGAAAGCAAACCCTTCACAACACTAGCCTACGACTAGCGCCGGCGGTGCGGCCAGTCGCCCCCGTGCCTTCGTGGCTGGGTTCACAGCGCACTGGGCGGTAGGGGGGAAAACACTTGACGAAACACGTGGCTAGGAGCGGTGAACTGTGACGAAAGTTGACTGAGGCGGTTGTCAGGAGCAGGCGCACATCGCTTCAGGGGGGGGGGCGCGCTTCTCTGCACACCACATGCTAGGGGGGGGGTCCGACCCCCCCAGAGGCTTCACCACATGCTGGGGGGGGGGGGCCCGACCCCCCCAGCACCTTCACCACATGGTGGGGGGGGGGGGGGGACGCGCGAACTACTCGCCTGCTCCGTGCGGTCGATGCAGCCGGCCCCCAGCCGCCCCGCCCGCCACAGCGAGGCCCCCGCCTTCCCGTGGCGCCGCGCATGCCCGCGCAATGGCGCGCCTGGCTCTGAGGGCTCCTACTGCCACCACGAACTCGCC